TGCCCTTGGCTTGCTGCAGGCAGGATGGGGATGGAACATGGACCCTGCTGCGTGCCTGTGTCTTTCTTGGGAGCGTCCCCCGCCTCACCCCACACCACAGTGGGAAGGGATCCCCAAAACCTGCTGCCGACTCACGGTGCGGGGCCGTCCTGCGAAGTCTTTGCCCTTCTTCAGCAACACCTCCCTTGCGTGCCGGTAGCTGTTCACCACCACCACATAGTGGGAGCCCATCCAGAGGGCGTAGAGGCTGCCGTAGTGTCCCTGCAGGCGCCACAGCCGCAGGTGGAGCTGGGGGTGCCCGGCCAGCTGCAGCAGGCTCCCCACCAGCGGCAGGGCTGGCAGACTCCGTGGGCGCCCCAAACCCGTCCCTGTGGCCATCGCCAGGGTGTCCCGCCGGCGGGCCAGCCCCCAGGTGCAGAGCAGGGCCAGGCCCAGCAGCAGGGCACCCAGCAGCGGCATGGCGGGCCCGGCTGTGGGCTGCAGCGCGCGGGGGGCCCTTATAGCGGCTGCAGGGTCGTCTCCTTGACTCTGAGGCGGGCTCGGCTCCTTATCGGGGGACAAGGAGGGGGGAGCCGGGCGCTGGGCCCGTGGCCAGCTCTGCAGCTGTGGGCACATGGCGGGGGGCGAGGGCAGCAGGGCCACGGCCACCCTGGGTGGCCATGGGGGAGCTGCTTCCAGTGCGCTGGGGGCCAGGGGATACCCAGGGTCGGATCCGTCCTTGGGGTTCCATCCCTAGGGCCCTGTGGTGGGCCAGGGCTGTGGGGACAGCTGAGCCCTCGAGGTTTGTCCTGGGTGCTGTGAGCACAGCTGGAGGGGTCTGACAGGGAACTGGAATCCATCCTCAGCCTGGGAGCGCCTCGACAGATCCGAGAGGGAATGGGCAGCACTAGAAATGCTGATAAGCCCGGAGCATCCCTGATAATCAGCTCGTGTCAGTGCTGGGAGACAAGGGTAACACTTGACTACTGGGCAGCCTTCGGCAATGCTGGTCAGCCCCTGGTACCATTGGTCAGCGCTGGTCACTACAGGGGAAGTACTGGCCAGGGCTGAGAAACCCTGGGCAGCGCTGGTCAGTGCTGGGCAGCCCTGGGTAGTGCTGAGAAACCCTGGGGAGCGCTGGTCAGCCTTGGTCTGTGCTTGTCAGTGCTGGGCAGCCTGTGGGTGTGCGTGCCCGAGGCGATGAGGTGTCCTGGGGGAGTCCTTTGGGAACAGAAACTCCTCCCGGCAGTGTCCCCGACCACCACGGACTCTGCGCCTTCCCGAGTCTTCAGACCCTCGGCGCTCGCCGTAGCGGCTCCCGGGGGTAGGCGGTGCGGACTGCGGGCGAGGTAAGATGGCGGCGGGGGGCGCGGCGGATGCCCAGGCGCGATTTGGCCACTCGGTGAAGGGGCTCCTGACCGAGAAGGTGACGAGCTGCGGCACCGACGTGATCGCTCTCACTAAGCAGGTGCTGAAGGGCTCCCGTAGCGCCGAGGTGAGCGGCGGGTGCTGGCAGGCGGCCGATTACAGGTCCGGAGCGGAGCTGGAAGCGGGGAGGGCGGCGCAATGCATGCTGGGAGCTGTAGTCTGGGGAGAGGACACATCGTCTTGTCTGGGCAGGGACAGGGACAGCGGGACAGGGATGCGGGCACGGCTGGGCACTCCTCGGGACTTCGGCGGTGACAGGCGGGAGGGTGAGTGCCAGCTCTCCAGGGTGACAGGTGGGAGTGGTGCCTCAGGCGCTCCCTATGGATGTGCTGTCACGGCACCGCGGTGATCCCCGCACGGTGTCACCCCGAGTGTCATCTTGCCAGCCATCACGGGGGCCTCGGGAAACGCAAAGCTGCAGTGTCTCAGACTGGTCTGTCTGTTTGTCTTGTAGCTCCTGGGTCAAGCTGCAAGAAACATGGTGATGCAAGAAGATGCCATCTTGCACTCGGAAGATGTGAGCTGTGTTCTTGTGCTCGAGCAGCAATGTGTCTAGGGACGGGAGGAGAGGAGGGTGGTAAGAAGAGTTTGCAGCCGTGCTACCGGAGCCCTGGAGGGAAATACATGACTTCAGGCAGCAGGACTGGTGGCCAGAATAATTTAGTGCTTTCTCAGACTCATTGTCACTGAACTCCCGGTGTCTTGTAGGCTGGCCAGTCCTCAAGCTGTGCCCTCTCTGACAGAAATCTTGGGGGACTGTGGCTGAAACAAAGCCCACAGTGTCTCTGCCTGTTACTGGGAAAGGAGAGGAAAGTGTGCCACTGCTGACACATACCAGTCGGGATGTTTTGGAGGCAGTGCAACAATACAGTGGTGGCTGTGCTGGAGGAACTCCCCGGAGCATTAGGACAGCTTGCACTGTGATTTCTGTGGACATTCATTCTTTTTGTGGACATTCATTCATTGTTTTGTTCTCCACAGAGTTTAAGAAAAATGGCCATAATAACTACTCATCTACAGTACCAGTAAGTAGGGGACACCAGTAAGTACGTCTTTTCTCTTGGGGACTGAGTGGATCCTTCAGTCCTTCTATGTTCTCCAGAGAGACTTTGCATGAAGCCACCACCTTAGACTGATCTCTCTTTTTCAGTTCTTCAAAGCTGAGCAGGTCCTGGAGCTGGAATTTTCCAGCCCTCTTCAGGCTGTTTTGGGGTGGGAGCTGAAATTTTTGCCTCCTATTTGCCATCCAGTGTGTCTCCCATGAGTGTGTATGATGCACCTGGGACTAAGAAGAAGCCAGTGCTGCTTCTATCCCCCAGAACTTAATCCAAAAACACCCTGGAGTTTTAGCCTCTTGAGCCCTTGTCCAACATAACATAAACCACGACTGAGATTTTGTTTTTCTAATTCTCTTTTTGTCTTTCCTTTTCTCTTCTAGGCAAGAAGCAATTCAAAAGAAGTGAGTTCTGGGAAGACCTGGGGAACATGCTTGTAGGGATGGAAAGGGGAAGGTGATGGAGTTGGATGGGGGAAAGCAGAATGGAAAGGTTTTTGCAGCTGCCTTCGAGGCAGATGCTGGCCAAGCAGGATAACGCTTCAGTATTGTGAAGAGATGGGAATTTGAGTGAAGAGATGGAATTCATACCAAGACTTCCTTTTGTTTCACTGATGTGATAGAGCATGTGAGGCTGCTTGTGAGAGGAGATGAGGATGGTGGGAGCAGAGCTGTGTACAGCAGGGTGCATGAAGTGAGGTTTACTTTGTGGGGACACGGGGTGGGGTGGGAGACACCAGAGTTTCTCCTTGCTGTAGTGTCAGCTCTAGAACTGCTCTGGTCCGTTGGGCACAGGTAGCACAGCACAGTCTGGGAGCAGATCTCACCATGAATCTCCTCTTGCTTGGTGCCTAGTGTGGAGCGCTCATCAAACCTTCAGGACCAGCTGAGTCACTTGCTGAAATGAAGGGAAGCCAAAGGCATGAGGAAATCTTGACCAGCACTGAGGGAGTGAAGCGTCCTCTCCCCTCCAGCCCCTGGGCTCAGAACTATATCTGGACGATGCTGGATGTGAGCTGGGATATGTGCAGAGTCTCTGTTTTATGGGCATGTGGCCCCTCCTGTGTGCCTGCATCCACACCTCTGCTCCAGAATGCTCACCCATGCACCTGCACCTGGCTGAAACAAACTTCCCTGAAATTTTGCTCCTCCCAATAATTCCTGTGTCTGCTTACTTCCCATGTAGCGTGAGGTGCTCAGCCCACACCAGCACGTTTGGCAAGAAATGCAGAGTTGAGGCATGGCGTTTAAATGCAGGTGCCTGCAGTTTGCCACTGGGCTGTATTTAGCCACAGAGGAGGCACAGAGTGCAGTTTATTTAGGGCATTTTAATCAGTGCGAGCTGCAAGTGCCTGAGTGCATGAGAGGTGCTTCAGTGTAGGCTGAGGTGCCAGTCCCAGCACAGGATTACTGAAACAAGGAATCTAAGCACACACATCTGCCAGTGGCCTAGCTGGACGTGGTTTGGCCATCATCCTCCTCAGAGGTTATCATACTTTCCTCTCTACCAGAGTTTGGAACATCATTGCTTTGCCAGCCCATATGTGCTGCATTCAGCCTTCAGCTGCATTCCTTTTCCTGGGCTGCTGCTTCAGCTTCTGATGAAGCAGCCTTGGCTGTGGTGTATGTTTGTATCTGGTTGGGAACATATCCAAAGCCCGTCTGGGAAGCAGGCAGGGGAGCATCACAAGCTGTTGTGCTCAGTTCTCTTCTGCTCTCTTGAAGACTAGTGACCTGTTCACATCCAGGAACAACTATAAATACTGTGTCTTGTTTTTGGTAAGTCACTTAATCTGGAGCACTTGAAGTGCACGGGAAGCACTTGTTTCCTTGAGTGTGGTTTTCACCAGCTGATAGGAGCAGACAGGCTGAGAGCTGACACTGGCCTGCCACATTCCTTTTGGAATGCTGCTGGAGTTTGGCTCCTGTGCTGCAGAGCCTTCTTGGGCTAGATTTCAACATCTCTGCCAGTATTTTTGCCTTGGGTGACATTCTGACCCCAGCTTTGCAGGTGCACTTTGTGAATGAGAGTTTTCCCTGTGACTTTCTTGCTGGGAATAAAAGCTATCCTGAACACCACCAAACTGCAGCAGTCTGTCCTGGATTCTGTTGCTGGTGGTCCCTGTGCATCAGGGAGACTGTTTAGGGTGGTGGGTCTCTGCCTCCCACGATCCCCCATTCCATTTCAGCTCGAAGGGCTTTACAGAGGCAGTGTGACCTTGCTGCAGGTGGCTGGTCCCTTCCAAGGCCCTGTCCTCAGAAGCTACAGCAGTCCTGTGGCATTAAATTTGCATCTCCCTGCCTTTGGAGCAAGCAGAGACAGGGCTGCACTGTGGAGGTGCAGAGCTGTTGGGGAGCAGGCAGCAGGGTGGGTTTTGGGGGTGTGGGTGCAGCAAGAACCATGAATGATGGCAGTGTGCTCACCATGGGAGTGGGGCCAGCAGCCCTCGCTGTGCCTGTGTCCTGCAGGGCCATGTGCCAGGGGCCTGGGCAGGCAGGAGCTGGTGCCAGGGCGGAAGCCAGGCCCAGGCAGTGTGGGATGCTGGGACAGCAGAGGGTATTGGGGAGGAGCGTGGCCAAGGCTGGGCAGAGTCCAACTGAGGCGCTGCAGCTGGAGGCAGTAAGACAGCCCAGGGCCTCTGCCGGGGGTGCTAGAGCTGTCCTTGGGACCAAGAGCTCTCTGCAAAGTAGCGGGGGGGGGGGGGATTTACCCTACAGAGATGCTTTGGGGGCTCATCTCTCCAGGACAGCTGGGCCTGGGTTTTTTTTGGAGTGGGGGGATGTTGTCAGATGCCCCCTGGAGCATCCTATTAGACTGCAAATTTGGGGGGGGTTCTCAGGGTTCTGCTGGGGAAGAGCAAAAAGTACTCTGGTATCTGGGGGAAAAGGGGGATTCAGAGCTCTTGGGAGTGGTGCCCATCTCTGTGGTGTCAGTCACCAGCCCCACATTCCCGTTGCAGTGGCAACTCCCTGCGGAGAGCAGATCCACCAGGAGGTGCAGGTGAGGGGCGCGGATGGGAACTGGTGGAGGGATAGGGCAGTTCGGCAGGGGGTGTGTGCCTGGGCTGTGCCAGAGTTCCTGCTTCTATTAGAGGATAAAGCTTGTTTCAGGGCCCAGATGAAAATGCCAGGTGCAGTTGGCAGCTTTGCTCCTGTTCCACACAGGGATGGAGGGCTGAGCAACATGGCATTTCCCTGCCCTTGCTCTCTGCACCCTTCTCAGCCAGGGAAATGGTGCTGCGTCTGCAAAGTTACTGAAAATTGGAATTAAATTCCCTCCTGCACAAACACATCAGTGCGTGTGAGCTAAGGGAGCTGGGAAGGATGAGGGCAAAGGGATGCCTGATCTTAGTGTAGTTTTTGGCTGGGTGGAAACGAGACTGCCAGTGCCAGAGGACATGTGGGCATGTGCAGGCCGAGTGCAGGCATGGCCCCCATGTTTTAGAGCATGGGGAACTCCCAGGGCTCAACTTGGCACAGTTTAGTGGCTTCTGTCCTTCTCATCTCAGGATTACTATGGCAAAGAGCTGCAGAAGTCAGAGGATCTCAAAACCAATGCGTGCATTACCTCAGCCAGGCCCCTTCCCAAGATGGTGAGAGAGGCTCTGGAGCACATCCATGAGGAGGTGGTGGCCAGGTAAATCCCAGGTTCTCTCCTCCACTGCCACACCCCATGGGCTGCAGCCCCTTCTCGGCTGTGCCACGGGACACCTCCACCCAGCTGAACTCAGCATCCACCCAGGTACTATGGCTGTGGTCTGGTGATCCCTGAGTGCCTGTCATCATGCCGCGTTCTGGACCTGGGCAGTGGCAGCGGCAGGGACTGCTACGTGCTGAGCCAGCTGGTTGGAGAGCAGGGCCACGTCACCGGGATAGATATGACCGAGGGCCAAGTACGGCACTGATCTGCAGCTCCCCCTCATCCTCCCAGCAGCTCCCCCACGACATTCCCTTCCTTCTGCCAGGTAGAGGTGGCGAAGAAACACATTGCCTACCACATGGATAAGTTTGGCTACCGAAAGCCAAATGTGGAATTCTTCCATGGTTACATGGAGAAGCTGGGTGATGCCGGACTGGCTGACGAGAGCTACGATATTATCATGTAGGTGCCGTGCAGGGCACAGTCACCCCCACTCCTGCTGCTTCCTGGGGCTGTGGGCTGGGTCTGCATCCCAATGGGTCACCTGCTTCAGAAGCACGTGTTAGGAAAAGGGAAATCCCAAGCCAGAGTCTGGGCTAGAGTCTGGGAATATAAACTGCCCTTTTCATGGTCAAATTGATGTTTCCAAGCCCTTTGTGAAGCGATGGGATACACAGCAGCTGGTGGTGCTAAGTGTGCAAGAGGGTGCAAATAAGCCTTGGTCTCGTCCTCCACAGCTCCAACTGTGTGATCAACCTTGCCCCTGACAAGAGGACTGTGCTGCGGGAGGCCTTCCGTGTGCTGAAGGTGACGGTGGGCTGGTGCCTGTGGCAGCAAAGCAGGCTTGGGGTAGCCCTGTTGTTGGAGTGCCACTGAGAAGCAGCAAATGGGATCCAGCAAGGCGGGGATGCAGGATGGGGTCAGGGGAGGGCATCTCTCCTGAGGGTCCCAAACAGGGTAGGAATAGGGGGTTCCCCATTCTCCCTGCCCTTTTTGTTCCTTTGCTTCCTGAGGTCTCCCTTCACTCCTTGCTGCCTTCCAGCCCGGGGGAGAGATGTACTTCAGTGACATCTACGCCAGCCAGCGCCTGAGCGAGACCATCCGGAAGCACCGGGTGCTGTGGGGTGCGTAGGGCTGTGGGATGGGGGTGACATGGCATGGGGGGACTGGACCTTTGCCTCCATCCCCCATGTCTATGATGTCCTGTGCCAGGAGAATGCCTGGCAGGAGCCCTGTACTGGAAAGATCTGTACAGCATTGCTGAGGAGGTGGGGTTCAGCCCCCCATGCCTGGTCACCGCCAGCCCCATCACCATTGGCAACAAGGAGCTGGAGGCCATCGTCGGTGAGGATCCAGCCAGGGCGTGTCAGCTCTGGGAAGCTGTGGAAAGTTCTGCTGGGATCTCAACCCAGGTGTTCAGTGCTCAAGCCACCAACCTCTCCTTTGTAGGCGACTGCCGCTTTGTTTCTGCAACTTTCCGCCTGTTCAAGGTGCCGGGTGGCAGCTGGGCCGGGCCAGGACAGGTCATCTACAATGGTGGGATTCTGGGGCACGAGCGAGAGCTGGTGTTTGATGCCAACTTCACCTTCAAGGTTTGGGGAGGCATGCTGGGGCTCTGTAGGGAAGAGTTAAAGCCGATAAAGCTGCTACTCAGCAGCATCCTCTGTGATCTGGGGGGCACACTTCGGTGGAGGGGATGGTGGGCGGGAGCCAAGGGGCTGTGTAAACCCAAGGGAGTGCAAATGTAGTGGAAAGGGAGAGAGATGTATGCACTTCTTTGTGGTAAAGGTAGAAGCAGGACATCCATGGTGGCTTCCCAGAATGGTTTGATGCCTGATGCTTGGGTTTTGTGGGTGTTTCTTCAGGTTTTGGGCCAAGACGTGCTCCTCCTTTCACTCTCCCCATCATCTGGCTGAGTGGCTGGAGTCCCCTGGGACACATATCCAGGACCCCAGGCCTGCAACTATTCCTCTATGCCCCCAGGAAGGAGAGGTGGTGGATGTGGATGCTGAGATGGCTGCGATCTTACAGAGCTCCAGATTTGCAGATGAGTTCCTGATCCGAGCTGGCAGAGCCAACACTGCAGCACTGCAGGGCTGCTGTTCCAAGGGAGTGAAGGTTGGTAGAGGGCAGCTCCGTGGCTGGGTTGAGGAATTGGGACATGGGTGACCCACGCCATCAGAGTTGCTATGGGGTATCAGAAGGGCTGTGGCATGATACCAAGACACCTGAGTCCTTCTGGGCCAGGCAGGAGTTCATGCAACACCAAGAGTGATGCCTGGTGCCTGAGTCGAGACAAATTGTACCCCTACCCAAATTGGAGCCCTCCAAAGAGAAGTCTACTCTAACCACCCCAGCATGTCCATGTGGACTGGTGAGGCTGACAGCTGGACTTCCCTGAGGTCTCCCCTGAGGGAATGGCTGTACACAGCCTGCCCCAGGGACATGATGGCCCATCCCCACAGTTTCTTCCTGCCCATTGCTCTCCCGCCTGCTGATGGAAGAGCAGATTGGCCCTGGTTGCCAACCCTGACCCTGCAGCACAAAGCATTCTATCTGCTGGAAGCCTCTCTCTTCTCCTTGGTGGTCTCTCTAGCCTGTAGTTGGGCCAGGAGAGACAAGGGAGATAACACCCTGCAGCTGTGTATCCCTGAAATACAGCCTTGTACTTAGGAAGGAGAGATTTTCTCAGGTCTCTGTCCAAGCAGGAGGCATTTCTCAGATAAAAGCAGAGCCAAAGTCCCAGACAAGCTCTTGGCTTCTTCCTTGCCGCAGGGAAAAGCAGCTGGAGTGACCCAGGAGCTGCCCCCTATGATAGCTAAGGAAGGTCTGCTTGGGTTGCTCTGCTGACAAGGTTTGAGCCAGGTGCCTCTTGCTTCCCACTGGCCAGATCCTGCCCGGGGTTTTTCTCTGTCCTTCAGGAGAAGATCCGTGATCCCTTCCAGCTGCTGGAGCGACTGACAGCCCCAGGTCCTGCCTGCTGTCCTGGTGGCACTTGTGGTCCCCCAGAGTGCTGATCAGTGGCAGGTGGTGTCCCCACACCAGTGTTGGAAGTCAGCGGGGCGAGAGGACATGGCTCCAATAACATCTTCCACCAGAGAGCAAATACATGTCTGAGCTCAAAGGCTGTGTGCTTGTATCTGCCACAGGGCTGTGGGTGCTGTGGGTTGTGCCTGGTTGCATTGAGGACCTGTCCTGTGGGTCCCCTCACTGTGGGGCTAGCAGTGGCTGCTGGCTTGGGTGCACAGGCAAGGACAGTCTCTGTCTCGCTGCCCTGCAGCCTGTTCCAGGAGATGGGGATTTCTCTCTCTTTCCCTGTGCAGCATCAGAGATTTCTGTTTTCCCCTGGACTCCATTTAGTTGTAAAGCCCCAAGTCCCCTGTAGGCATCACACCTGCAGTGTTTTGCAGGGAAATAGAGCAATTCTGAAAAAGCAGAAACACATCCAGCTGCATCCCACAGCAGGCAAAGAGCAAGGTGAAAGGGCTTTTAGGCTGTGGTGGGAGGTGATGGGCTGCATTCCTGCTGTCCAGCATGAATCCTACAGGACCTGGCCTGCACAAGGTGTTTGGGAAAGGCTGAAGGCTGCTGAACAGCTAAACTTAGAAATAAGGGACCATTTCCACCCCTCGTCACCCAGTGATTTTCCAGGAGGGACCAAATTTACTATCTCTGATATTTAAGCATCATTTTGCTGTGGCATGGGGCAAGTTAAGAAGCAAAGCCCAATAAAAATTGGGTTCAAAAAGAAACAGGGATCAGTGTCAAGGATGCTCTGCTGTAGCAGTGGCAGAGGAGGGTCCAGGTGTTCAGGACACCTGAAATTGTTCTGAAATTGTGTGGAATGACCTCACCGATGGGACCTTGGGAGGAAGAAGCTGTTTAATACACACACCCCACCCCAGTCCTCTTCCTAGATTACTTACAAAGACTTTATCCAAATCCCCAAACATTTCATCCTGGGAGGTTTGCAGCAATTAGGTCTTGCTATCAAAGACAGCCTTCCCAGTGGGAGAGCAGGTGGAGCAGGGGGGATCCTACCTGCAAATCCCTTCATTAAAAAGACATGAGTCCCTGGCGTGGCCTTTCAACTTGCCTGGGAAGAGCTGCACCCACAGCGAGATCCCCGCTCTGTGCATATAGAAAAAGGCCACAGCTCAAATGTCACTGCATTTGCATAGCACTATGTTTTTCCCAAATTCTCAGCATGTCAGGGAGGAAGCAGCTAAGAGAACTCGACTTTGATGTGGCTCATTAGAGGTCCTCACCTGGCTGTGGATGCAGTGATGTCCTCTCTGCCTGGCTTTACTTGTGCATGCACAGCCTTGGGGTTTTCAGCCCCCAGTGTATGAAAAGAGGAGGTCCTGCAGCTCCTTCCCATGTGAGGAATCCCAACATGATCTGTCCAACACCCCAGTCTGTGCATTTTGGTGATTATAGAGATGGCCCAAATCTTGTTCCCCTAGTGTGAAGCTCTGCAGCACTGGTGTCCTCACTCGGCAGGCAGAGAGGGTGTTGTGATGGCAGTAGCCAGAGGTTGTGATGGTCTGATTCACTCCGAGGGAAAAGGGAAGGAATTCCTGAGTCCCTGTTAACCCTGTGATTAGCAGGGTGTCACTTAGGTTCAGGGACACCTGTCACCTTCTTAGGGGAGCAAACTGGAACTCCCTTAGGATAAGTTGAATGAGCCCAGGAAAGATTGGTGACTACAGCCCCAAAACACTGTGCTCTGCTCCACCCTGTATTGGGTTGCCCTGCACAATTTATTCTTCCATTTTCCAAGCACTTAAAGAGCAGGGAGGCTGTTTTACCTCCTCTAAAGGGTGTCAGCCACCACAAGCCACATTGGTTGCTCCCATGGCTGTTCGTCTCTGGCTGTCCAGGATGCTGAACTGTTTCCTGGCTCCCTCATCCCTGACGGACATGGAGCAATGATGGCCGGGTGTGGGGTGTGTGTTGCCTCAGCTGAGATTGCGGCACAGCAGCCGAGCCTTGGAACCAGCCGGGCTCTCAGGGCGGTGTTACGGCACACGGTAATTTACAGGTGCTTTCATGAATCGGGGCTCCTGGCCCTCCATGCATCCCTGAACTGAGGATGAGCGCAGCGGGACAACTGGGGCGGCTCTGGACGTCCTCAGCGGCTGCGCCAAACCCCCCGGCACGGGGCGGCGGAGCAGAGCAGAGGTAAGGGAGGAGCGCGGCCCGTCCGTATTCAGTATTTAGTGGTTAATTCCGCTCTCACAGGCGCGACACAACCGAGGAGGGGGCAGAGGGTGCCCGGGGGCCGCAGTGCGACAGCTCCATTTCTGAACGCCGCACGGTACTGCACCGGCGGCGGCTGGGGGGACGGGCACGGCTGAGAGAGCCGCCCCCGCCGCAGCACATCCCGGCGGGAGGCACCGGGATGCGCCCCGTCGGGCCGGGCCTGCGAGGCGCGGCGGGGCCGCCAGGGGGCGCTGCGCGACCGCCGACGGGGGCGACGCGTGGACACGGGGCGGCGCTCCCGGGCCGCTGAAGGGGACGAGAGGTGCGGCGGGTCCGAGGGGAGCGGCGGTCGCCGTGGGCCGGGCGGGAGAGGAGGAGGAAGCGGGATCGCCCGGCCCGTTCCGGCCGCCCGTTGCCCCGGCGCGGGCGCTCCCGGGGCCGCTCCTGCCGAGCGCCGCGCACGCCGGCCGCACAGCACCCCCATTGGTCGCGCCCCCCGTAAGGCTCCGCCCCCTTCGGCCCTTAGCGCCGTCGCCATTGGCCACGGCCGCACAGCCGGCCCCGCCCCCGCGCGCCCGGCGTACACACCGGAGTCACGCGCCCCCGGGGCCGGGGAGAGGGCGGGGCGCGGAGGGGGCGTGACCTGTCTCTGATTGGCGAGCAGGCGGGCGCTGATTGGCGACGCCGGGCCGAGGCCCCTCCCCCTCACGGCGGGCGGGGCGGGGCGGGGCGGGCGCGGGTAGAGGCGGCGCTGGTCGGCCCGGCCCGGCAGTCGCCGCCCGTCGGGTCCCGCGGGCAGCCGAGCCCGCGCCTCGCCCGCCGCGCCCACCACCGCCGCCGTCGGGGGAGCCGGGGCACGCCGCAGGCGCCGCGCGGTGATGCGGGGCCGCGGCGGCGCCGAGCCCTGACTAAAGATGGCCGCGCTGCCCGGTGGGAACATGGCGGGGGGCGGCCGGGGGGCGCGGGTGCTGCTCTTGCTGCTGCTCGGCGGCTGCCTGGGCCGGCGGCCCCCGGCCGCCGCTGCTGCCGCGCCGCCCGCCGCCGTCGTGCCCCCGCCGGCAGCGGAGGAGACGGTGATCATCGGCCTGCGGCTGGAGGACACGGACGACGTCTCCTTCATGGAGGGGGGCGCGCTGCGGGTGAGCGAACGGACGCGGGTGAAGCTGCGGGTCTACGGGCAGAACATCAACAACGAGACGTGGTCGCGCATCGCCTTCACGGAGCACGAGCGGCGGCGGGGCGGGCGGGCGGCGGCGGGGCCGGCGGGGCGCGGCGGTGGCGGGAGCGGCGGCGGGTCGGCGGGCAGCAGTGGGGCCCCGCAGCGCTGCGGCATCCGCACCTCGGACATCATCATCCTGCCGCACATCGTGCTCAACCGCCGCACCTCGGGCATCATCGAGATCGAGATTAAGCCCCTGCGCAAAACGGAGAAGAGCAAGTCTTACTACCTGTGCACCTCCGTCTCGGCCCCCGCCGCCGCCGCCCTGGGGCCCGGGGCTCCCGGAGGGCTGGCAGGCGCCGAGGGCCCGGCGGGACCCCCGCCCTGGGGTGAGACCACTTGGATCTACCATGACGGCGAGGACACCAAGATGATCGTGGGCGAGGAGAAGAAGTTCCTGCTGCCCTTCTGGCTGCAGGTCATCTTCATCTCGCTCCTCCTGTGCCTCTCGGGCATGTTCAGTGGCCTCAACCTGGGCCTGATGGCCCTGGACCCCATGGAACTGCGCATCGTGCAGAACTGTGGCACGGACAAAGAGAAGAACTACGCCAAGCGCATCGAGCCTGTGCGGCGTCAGGGCAACTACCTGCTGTGCTCCCTCCTGCTGGGCAATGTCCTGGTCAACACCACGCTTACCATCCTGCTGGATGACATTGCCGGCTCTGGGCTGGTGGCCGTGGTGGTCTCCACCATCGGTATCGTCATCTTCGGCGAGATCGTGCCGCAGGCTATTTGTTCTCGGCACGGCCTGGCCGTGGGCGCCAACACCATCTTCCTCACCAAGTTTTTCATGATGATGACCTTCCCGGCCTCCTACCCTGTCAGCAAGTTGCTGGACTGTGTCCTGGGCCAGGAGATCGGCACGGTCTATAACCGTGAGAAGTTGTTGGAGATGCTGCGGGTCACCGACCCTTATAATGATCTAGTCAAGGAGGAGCTCAACATTATCCAAGGAGCCCTGGAACTGCGCACCAAGACTGTGGAGGACGTGATGACTCCCCTCCGAGACTGCTTTATGATTGCTGCCGAGGCTGTGCTCGACTTCAACACTATGTCCGAGATCATGGAGAGCGGTTACACCCGCATCCCTGTGTTCGAGGGCGACCGCTCCAACATCGTGGACTTGCTCTTCGTTAAGGACCTGGCTTTTGTGGACCCCGATGACTGCACGCCACTCAAGACTATCACCCGCTTCTACAACCACCCACTGCATTTTGTCTTCAATGACACCAAGCTCGATGCCATGCTGGAGGAGTTCAAGAAAGGTGGGCTCGTGCCAGTGGCAGGTGTGGGGTGGGGAGGTGCTGCTCGGTGGTGGTCAGCATCCACCTGCTTGCAGCAAGGGATCTCCTCAGGGAGCTTTGGGTTCCTGCTCACAGAAGGCTGTGGGAAGGTGCTTTCTGGGCTGCGAGTGACGGGTATTTAGGTATCTGCCAGATCCACTCCTTCCCTGGGCCAGAAAGCTGATCCACGGCTGGGATGTGCCCCCAGCCTTTTTTCCTCCACTGCACTGGGATGTGTGTGTGGGCATGGTGCCAAGCAAGGTTGTTTTCCTTCTTGCTTTTTCCACTCATCTGTCTGTTATAGTGAGAACCACTGACGGGAATCTGCGCCTATTCCTTGGCTGTGTCTTCTCTGTGCTTTTTCAGCTGGCCTGATGGGGAGGAGTGGGTGGGCTGCTTGGGTGCCTTTCAGGCTCAGTGCACACACGTGCTGAGATAAACAAGGCGCTTTAGCTCCATTCATAGGCTCAGCCAGACGACCTCAGCTCTCTGCTCGTGTTCCAGTTACTTTGATTGACACTTTGATCTTGTAACTCAAATAATTTCAGTGTCTTCAAATATATTCCAAAGCACCTGCTGGTGCTGCACTTCAGAGTTACAGCTCTTTTTCCCCAGGCTACCCTGTGCTTCAGGACCACAGGCTCACCGGAGATGTGACCCTTTCTACTTCTCTGGTGTAGCTTGTGTATCAGAACGGGACTGAGGCTTTCTGCCTCAATCTCTTGATTGTAGGTGGTGCTGACTTGACAAGTGCATCTTAATTCTAGTTAGAAGCTGTTGCTTATGAGAAAGGGAAAAACATCTTTTTTTTTTTTTTTTTAAATCTGTTCCTTTCTGCAAGCCAAATAATAATGCTCTGTGGCCTGTGCAGGAGGGGGCTTTTAAAGTGGTTGTGAAGTTGAGAAATTTCAGACCGTTTGGATGTGTGGACTCCTGTGCTGGAAAAAGGCTATTTGGAGTGCCACCAGACTGTTCCTACCCAGGGAGATCTGATCAAATCACCACGGAACAGCTCGGTTCCTGGGGTTGATTTGCTTGAGAGAGGAAATCTAATAGGGAATATTTGAGCTTACCTTTTATTAACTGCCTAAGTTACCTTGGAAAAAACCTTTGTGCATTGATGAATGTTCTTTACAGGTAAGTTTAAATTATGACTGAAGTTTCAGTTGCTGTTTTGTCCACATGCTAAGCTCTTGTGTCATGGCATTAGATCTTCTTCATCCTGCTTAACTCAGTTTTGGGGATTTGGATGGTTACCTTATCTTTATTTCATCTTTGTAGGTAGAAGACGGACATACTCCTGCTTTTTACTGATCAGTGCAGCAGTGGTTATCTTTATCTCTTTCAGCCTATGTGTAGAGATGGGGAAGTCTTACTTGGTTTTGAAGGTGTTGAAGGAGAGATGAGGGAGAGCCTCCCTCAGCTGTGGTTTCTATGCTGCAGGATCTGCAGCTTGGATGTGGGAAACTCAACGATGTCAACTGTTGGCTGGTTAAGGTGAATTTTGCTGTATATGTGAGTAAAGTGTGGTGGTTCTTCCCCTCTGTCCCTGTTGTTCAGACTCCAGATAGCACAATAGGGTTCTTAGCCTGTAGTGAGACTTGTGGGTGTTCTCTAGTTCTGTATGCAGCAATGTGTCTGAAGAAATGCATGTTATGTTCGTAGTTTATTTCCCTGGTCTGAAAGGATGGAATGCACTCCTGTGTGTTAGCATAGCAGTCCTTTTATTTAACAGCTGGGAGAATTAGTTATGTGCTTTAATCCGGCGAGAGTGGCTAAGCCAAATTCCTCCTTAGAGTTCCTAAAACTGGTGCTTAAAATAGGCTGCTTAAAAATTCTCCTGGGTGGCTTGGAAGGTGCAGACTGGAGATCACTTTCCCTGGTAGCCAGTCTCTTGCCTGTGCTAGGAAACATCCAGTAGCACAAGTTCAGGATGATCTCCTAACGTGTGTGTTCCCTCCTGAGATTGCTGAGTCCTAGAATAGTCTCTGTAGTTGGGAATTAATTCAGACTAGTTTGAGCATACTTAAATGTTTACTCCAGAGTCACTATGCTGGTTGGTCTGTATGGGCAAGCCCTGTGTTAGGATCAGCTTTGTCCTAACTGGTTTCTCTTTAAAAAGTGCAGATATAGTGGAAATAAGTGGCTTCCTTTGTGTCCTTTGAAATGAATGTAAATAACTGATAGCTGGCTTGATCTGGCATAGCGCACTGTCTTTTGCAAGAGCTCTTCCAGCTTTCTTCTTCAGAGCAGCCTTGCCAAATTCCCATGAGAATGTACAAATTAAGGGTGAGAATCAAATTGCATGTTGCTTTCCAGTAGAGTGTTGGAAATAAAGAAGCTTACAGTTTTTAATCATTCCCTTCCCATCACATTGATCTTCTGCCACAGCCGTCTTGCTTCAAAACTCCTAAGTGTGTCCTTTTTGATACCCAGGCCTCTGCTACCACTGTCGGGTGCAACAGGCTGCTCATGTGATAGTGCTGTCAGTTAATACAGTTATTTGAGGAGAAAGGATGGGGTTTTTTCTTGTAAGTTTGGCAATTAGCTGAGTAGGTGGGGTTTTGAAACTCATATTTTCAGCAGAAGCAAAGCCTTCTTAACCTGAATGTGGAATGGAGGTTTACAAGGAGGCAGTTAAAAGCCAAACACAGCGGGATATATGTCCTTATACTGTTGCAGAAGATGAAATTGGTAATTCTCTGGTTGTTCTAGTGCTTAGGCTGAACAGCTGGAGGATTTGGGGGTGGGTCTATCATTAGCATTATTTGATCACAATTGCAAAATAGGTATCTGTTTCAATTTCATGCTGCCAGGCAAGAAACTTAATTTTAAGAGAGCTTCAGCACATTCCCACCCCCTTGCTGCTCTAATCTCCTAAAGTGTGAATAAACATGATTCCTGAAGCAGTCCACAAACAAGCTTCTCCTTTAAAAAGCACAGTTTACTTGAAAATAAATAAGTAGCTTTTGAAATAGGTGTGATTTTTCTGTTCTAAAAACAGACCTTAAACTTCTACAGAGCTGTCAAATCCACCTGTGTACAGGTTGAGCAGACTGAGTACTTAACTTAAATTCAGTCATTCAAATTTAATGCAAGGGAGTCTAAGGTACCTTTTCTACTGGCCTAGGAAAGGACCTGCCTGACTTTGCTCAGAGCAAAGAGGTATCTCATTTGAAATGAGTTCACTCCCAGCTGATCCAATATTGGCCATTGCTATAAAGTGGAGCGAGGCGTTACCTGTTCCAGGACTTATTTGTGTTGTGGTTCCAATTCTGCAGCAGGGATTGATTGAGCCACAGAGTCATTTTTGGAAAGAAGATGATGAACAGTCTCCACTGATCTTTTTCTTTTCGACATGTGTGTGGATCTGCTTTTTAAATTTTTTTTCCCTTGTTTTCTGTTGCTTTTTGACAGTCTCCCTAGGTCTCTGCTTAAATGCTCTCTGGCACTTGCTCTTGGTGTTTTTCACAGGCAGATCTCTGTCTGTGTGATCCTAAATCCAAAGCATTCTATTTCTAGCTTCCTGTCTGCTGGAGCTACAAAAATTCAGCTTGAAAAGCCTCATGTTGTAATACTAATATTTCAAGATTGGCCCACTTTCCGCCAGCCATTCTACAGCTGTGTTCCTGGTGGCCTGGATGGCTTTGGAGGGCAGCAGTTTCTCAGTTGGAGTCCTCCTTATCTGGGGACTTTGAGACAAATGTTTTGATCTTATTTATATCTGTTTCCACTATTATTTTATACTACAGATCAGAGCTTAATAACCTGTTGTAAAGAAGCCACAGTAACTGTGTGGCAGTTCTGAGCTCTCATTTTCTGAATCACATGGCAGCCTTGAGAAAACTCTTAGATTCCTTATTAAAATCATTGCCAACTGGACCTTAAAAGACTTTTTATTTCTAAAAACGTTGTCAGATTTAGCTTGATGATACTTTGTTCAGGCTCTGTTGGTCTTGTGTTGTCAGGTATTAGTAGCACGTATGTTTGGTGGTTGATTTAGAGTGGACATTGGGGAAAAATGTTGTCCATTTCTTTCCTAGTTCCTCCTCCCCCTTGAAAGAAAACCAGGTCCTAGCAGCCTGAAACATAAACCCCTGACTTTTGAGTGTAGAGAATACCTAGACCTACTTTTCTTTTGAGCACATAGATCCTCTTTTGGAAACAGGTAGGATAGCAAGTAATTTGTAGCCCAGGGATCCAAAGTTCTCCATTACTATTGTTGGTTTAAGGGTTTTTTCTTTTATTAGGCCACTTGGTCTGAGGGGCTTTTCTTTGTTATTAGGGCATTTATCTTTCTGGTGCAGCTCTAATCCAGGTTTGTAGGTGGCTTCTTTCCTGATTCCTTTCAAGTTTTATGACCTGCTGAATCTGAGTCCAGTCTTCCCTTGAGTAGCTTTGACTTAGTAGGTCTGAATGCTCACTTTCTAGTTTATCCAGCAGGTTGTCTGTCTCCTGGGCACTTTTTCCGTGTAACCCTGTGACTGCAGCATTACGAGAAACTGGAAGAAACTACATAAATCCTTTCTAGGATTATGAAAGGCACGTAAAACTTCTTGGAAAACAATATCGTTTTCAAGGCTGCTTAGCTAATAAAAGGCACCTCCTCTGATCCTTTTGGGGAAATTCATATAACAGAGAGAATGTTGAGGAGGTCCAGTGTGGAGACTTTTCTGTGTGAAGAGAGTAGGGGAGTGGTAGGTGGGAAGGAATTTGCCGCCAAGAAACAGAAGTCTTAGCATGCTATGCCTGCAGATTTATTCCCTGAACAAAAATTGCACGTGGGGGTGGGGGTTGCCTCGTGACAAACTGTTCCTTGGCTGTCTGACAGCGCAGCACCCGCAGGTACTGCACTGCCAAGAGCTTTGCTGGCCTTGCAGAGCTCCTGGGGGATGCGTGCTCGTTCCAGCGGAGAGCAGCGGATGTGGGTTACTGCAGGCAGCCCTCCTGCTGGTATGCTGAGGGAGAGGCTCCAAGGGGAA